CTCTGTCTGCAGGACAGGAGGTCACAGTTGATAAGTCAGACAACCTCATCTGCATCATCACAACCATCTGTAGCAGGAAGGTAAACAGGGTCTGGCCCTCTTTCTTGCCCTTCCTGCCACTGTCCAGAGTGACATAGTTCATTCTTTTCAATGCCTGGAATTCCTCTGAAGATGGGGCTTGCCCAAGGGCCACCTGAGCAGAGGTCCTGTCTTTTCAGGTCCACCCGTTATTCCTAATGTGAGAAATCTGGGCATCTGTGCTCTTCACATCATCGGGTACTTCAAGAGACTACCCAAGAGAATCAGGGATTGCCTGTTAAGTGTGTGCTGCTTCTCTTGGGGTTTCAATCCCAAAAGCCTATCCTATGTTCAACAACAAAGTGGCTCTCCTGAAAGAGGCAGGATGCAGAGCCCAGTGAGGAACTGGGCACGCAGGTATGGGAGGAGGCATATGTGATTTGCACTTTATTTTCTCTTCCTTTGCATCTGGAAAATAAGAAATGTGTATGGTTATTTTGTGGGGATCAATGGGATGTTCAGATGTATTTCTACACTAGCTGTATTAAACCCTGCCATTTAGCATACTTCCTCAGGAAGTAATCCTGCTGGAACATACTCAGGTAGTGTCCAATGTAACTAAACTAGCAGTAGACAACAAAACACTGTGATTGGAGTGGGGTGGGTGGGTATTGGGAAATTATTAAGGCCACTCCACATAGTTAAAAGGATGATTTATTTAGTGGGTAACTTATAAATTAAGGGATAGGTAGGTTGCGGGGTCTGGGGAAGGTTATTGCAGTCCAGCGTTGTTCTCTTGAGCTCTGCTTGGTTAACCTCCACTGTTTTGGGTCCAGGAAGAGAGAGAGCACTGGCCCCTCTCGATCTTGGGTCTCCAGGGTTTTCCCTTGTCCCTGCCTTGTAGGCGTGACAGTTGACAAAGCCTCAATGGGGGTTGGAACTTCCAGATCAAAGCTGGAATGGCTACACACTACAGGTGGGAAGTGTTGTGATATGGAGCTGTTGTCCACAGGGAACAGATGTTCATATAGAAGACTCTGCTTGGGGATCTAGGGCCTGGCAGAGTGACTATGGTCAATGCTCAAAGGGCCACTTCAATGTCCCCCTACCGTTCAACTGGACAGACAGAGTGTGTCAAGACCTGTGGGGCCTGATGTCACATTGAAGAGGCCAACTGTGGGAGGCTGAACTGGATCCCAGTTTCTGCATACCATCCGCTCCCACCGGTCTAGAAGAGATGTCTGCAATATCACAGGACTCCCCACCATGGCATCTAGGAACTCTCCCTCAAAAGGAAGTGGTTGC